GCAATTTTCCAAATGAAATCCCTTACTGGGGAGCTTGTTTTTCGCGGCCGGGCCCTCCCGCTCAGCGTCGGGAGGTCCCAGGTGGATTTTCACCCTGGAACAGTTCCAGGGTGAAAATCCATCTGGACCCCCCCCCAACGCAAAACGGCTCTCTCGGGGATGGGGGGGGAAGTGTGCCCGAGCCCCCAAAATGGCAATTTTCCAAATGGAATTTCTTATTGGGGAGCTTGTTTTTCGCGGCTGGGCCCTCCCGCTCAGCGTCGGGAGGTCCCAGGTGGATTTTCACCCCGGAACCGTTCCATGGAAAATCCATCCGGGGCCCCCCCCAACGCAAAACGGCTCCACCCGAGCCCCCCACATGGCCATTTTCCAAATCAAATCTCTTTTTGAATAGCCTTTCTTTTCGCGGCGGCAAGGAGCCCAATAAGGCATTCTGCAAGGAGCCCAATAAAGCATTCTGGAAGGAGCCCAATACGGCCTTCTGCAAATAGCGCAATAAGGCCTTCTGTAAGGAGCCCAAAAAGGCCTTCTGTAAGGAGCCCAATAAGACCTTCTGTAAAGAGCGCACTAAGGCCTTCTGTAAGGAGCTCAAGAAGGCCTTCTGTAAGGAGCCCAAGAAGGCCTTCTGTCACAGGAGCTCAATAAGGCCTTCTGTAAGGAGCCCAATAAGGCCTTCTGTCAGGAGCCCAATAAGGCCTTCTGTAAAGAGCGCAATAAAGCCTCCTGTAAGGAGCTCGAGCTCAATAAGGCCTTCTGTAAGGAGCGCAATAAGGCCTTCTGTCAGGAGCTCAATAAGGCCTTCTGCAAGGAGCCCAATGAGGCCTCCTGTAAGGAGCTCAATAAGGCCTTCTGTAAGGAGCGTAGAGGAGCCTTCTGGGAGGAACTCAAAATGGCTCCGGATGGGTTTTCACCCCGGGACGGTGCCAGGTGATTCCGGAACCTGAAGTGGTGGGTTTTGGGGTACCGACCGCTTTCGATACAGCACGTTTGGGGGCCAAGAAACATGCGAGGGGTGTGCCGAAACCGGTGTGGTGGCGCTATGCGGGCTGCTACTGGGGCCTTCGCTGGAGCTTCCTATCAAGCAACGAAGCGTGTGAGGGGTGTGCCGACACGGGCTCGGTGACGCCATGCGGGCGCTGCCACTGGGGCCTTCGGTGGAGCTTCCAATGGGGCCACGAAAAATGTGAGGGGTCTGCCGAAACGGGCGCGGTGGGGCCATGGGGGCGCTGCCGCTGGGGTCTTCGCTGGAGCCCCCGATGGGGCCACGAAACATGTGAGGGGTGTGCCGAAAAGGGTGTGGTTGTGCCATGCGGGCGTTGCCACTGAGGCCTTCGCTGGAGCTCCCTATGGGGCCACGAAACGTGTGAGCGGTCTGCCGAAACGGGTGCAGTGGTGCCATGCGGGCGTTGCCATTGGGGCCTTCGGTGAAACTCCCTATATGGGGTCACGAAGCGTGCGAGGGGTGTGCCGAAACGGGTGCGGAGTGTCATGCGGGCGCTGCCACTTGGGCCTTCGGTGGAATCCCTATGGCGCCACGACGCGTGCGAGGGGGGTGCCGACACAGAGACATGCGGAGGGCACGGGCGATGTGGCAGGATGGAGGAGAGGTGAGTTGAGGAACGTGAGGCGCTGTCCCTTCAAAACGAGGACCCAGTACCACATGTTGGTTGGGAACATCAGCCTGGCGAAGAACCTAACCCTTTGTCAACGGCTGGCGGCTGTAAACAGAACCGCCCCACGCCTACGGACGCAGCCACTGTCTCCGGTGGAGCAGCCACACGGGGCCACGAAACGCGTGAGGGTCTTCCGACATGGGGCGGGGCCGCATGCGGACACAGCCACTGGTCTCTTCAGTGGAGCTCACTGTGTGTCCACGAAACGTGTGAGGGGTCTGCTGACATGGGGCGGGGCCGCATGCAGGCGCAGCCACTGGGGCCTTTGGTGGAGCTCCCTATGAGGCCACGGAAAGCGTGAGGGGTCTGCCGACATGGGTCAGGGCCGCATGCGGACGCAGCCACTGGGGCCTTCGGTGGAGCTCCCTATGGGGCCACGAAACGCGCGAGGGGTCTGCCGAAACGGGGCGGGGCCGCATGCGGACGCAGCCACTGGGGCCTTCGGTGGAGCTCTCTATGGGGCTACGAAACGTGCGAGGGGTCTGCCAAAATGGGGCGGGGCTGCATGCGGACGCAGCCACTGGTCTCGTCGCTGGAGCTCCCTATGGGGCTACGGAGCGTGTGAGGGGTCCGCCGGGGTGCGAAGAGAGAAGACGCTGATGGTGCGGCAGCGGAGGGAGTACGAGGAGGGGGAGAATAGAAGAAGAAAAAACGCCATAAACATAAACTTTCGGCGCTCCGCGAGGATTTCTTGGATCTGCGCTGGGAGCGAGCCAGTGGCGCCGGAGGCGCCGCCAGGGGGGGCCCCAGCGCGGATCCAAGAAATCCGCGCGGAGCGCCAAACACTTACGTTTTTGGCGTTGTTTCCCTTAAGAAAGAAGGAGGAGGGATATGTACGGCGCTGCGGGTTCAAAACGAGGACCCCACATGCAGGACGGCTGGGAAAATTATCCTGGCGAAGGACCCAATCATATGCAGTTGTGAGTAACGCGTTGTGGGTGCCGTTTTCGGTGGAGCTCCCTTCGGGGCCACGAAGCGCGTGAGGGACGTGTCGTAATGGGTGGTGGTTGACGCATGCGGGCGGTGCCACTGGGGCCTTCGGTGGGGCTCCCTATGGGCCACGAAACTTTGTACTGGGTGTGGCTGACGCATGCGGGCAATGCCCCTCGCTGGAGCTCCCGATGAGGCCACGAAGCGCTGTACTGGTTGGGGGAAACGCATGCGGGCGGTGCCGCTGGGGTCTTTCTGTGGAGCTCCCTACGGGGCCACGAAGCGCTGCACTGGGTGGTGGCCGACGCATGCGGGCGGTGCCACTGGGACCTTCGGTGGAGCTCCCAATGGGGCCACAGGAGTGGGGGACGCATGCGGGCGGTGCGACTGGGGCCTTCGGTGGAGCTCCCTAGGGGCCCACGAAGCGATGTACTGTGTGGGGGGTCGCATGCGGGCAGGCCATTGGAGCTCCCTACGGGGCCACGAACCGCTGCACCGGGTGGGGGGGACGTATGCGGGCGGTGCCACCTGGGTCTTTCTGTGGAGCTCCCTACGGGGCCGCGAAACGCTGTGCTGGGTGGTGGCTGACGCATGCGGGCGCAGCCATTGCGACCATCGGTGGAGTTCCCCAAGGGGCTACGAAACGCTGTGCTGGGTGGGTGAAACGCAGGGAAGAAGGGCTGTGCTGGGTGGTGGCCGAGGCATGCGGGCGGTCCCACTGGGACCTTCGGTGGAGCTGTCTATGGGGCCACGAGGCGCTGTACTGGGGCCTTCGGTGGAGCCCCCCATGGGGCCACGAAGCGGTGTGCTGGGTGGTGGCTGGCGCATGCGGGCGGTCCCACTGGGACCCTCGGTGGAGCTCTCTATGAAGCCACGAAACGATGTACTGGGTGGGTGAAACGCAGGGAGGCAAGGCTGTGCTGAGTGGTGGTTGACGCATGCGGGCGGTCCCATTGGGACTTTCGGTGGAGCTCCCTATGGGGCCGCGAAACGCGGGTGAAACGCAGGGAAGAAGGGCTGTGCTGGGTGGTGGTTGACGCATGCGGGCGGTCCCACTGGGACCTTCGGTGGAGCTCACCATAGGGCCACGAAGCGCTGTACTGGGTGGGTGAAACGCAGGGGGGCAGGGCTGAGCTGGGTGGTGGTTGACGCATGCGGGCGGTCCCACTGGGACCTTCGGTGGAGCTCCCTATGGGGCCACGAAGCGCTGTACTGGGTGGGTGAAACGCAGGGAGGCAACACTGCGCTGGGTGGTGGTTGACGCATGTGGGCGGTCTCACTGGGACCTTCGGTGGAGCTCCCCATGGGGCCACGAAGCGCTGTAGTGGGTGGGTGAACCGCAAGGAAAATGGCTGTGCTGGGTGGTGGCCGACGCATGCGGGCGGTCCCACTGGGACCTTCCATGGAGCTCTCTATGGGGCCACGAAGCGCTGTACTGGTGGGTGAAACGCAAGGAGGCAGGGCTGTGCTGGGTGGTGGTTGACGCATGCGGGCGGTCCAACTGGGACCTTCGGTGGAGCTCCCTATGGGGCCACGAAGCGCTGTACTGGGTGGGTAAAACGCAGGGAGGCAGGGCTGTGCTGAATGGTGGTTGACGCATGCGGGCGGCCCCACTGGGACCTCCGGTGGAGCTGTGCTGGGCGGTGGTTGACGCATGCGGGCGGTCCCACTGGGACCTTCGGTGGAGCTCCCACTGGGACCACGAAACGCTTTACTGGGTGGGTGAAGGAGGAAGGATTGTGCTGGGTGGTGGTTGACGCATGCGGGCGGTCCCACTGGGACCTTCGGTGGAGCTCCCCATAGGGTCACGAAGCGCTGTACTGGGTGGGTGAAACGCAAGGAGGAGGGAGGAGGGGGACAAGGGAGGGGGAGGAGGGAGGAAAGTGGCGGGAGAAACGAGGGGACCGTCTCTTCAAAACGAAGACCCAACACCACAGGTAGTTGGGAAAAACAAGCTCCGTGCACGGCGAAAAAGGCTCGGCCACGGGACGCACAGCAGCGCCCTGCGAGCATCGGGCCGCACCGGGGCGTTTGAATGCACGGACTGCATCGGATCGAGCCCGCCGGACTCGACATTTGATTGAACCGACCGGATCGAGATAGGCCCCGAAAAGCGGCCCTCGTCCCAGGCTTGACGGAAAGACTCCAGCCTGGCCACACGAGGTCGAAATAAGAGTGCCCTGCTTGGAAGAGGAACAAAAAATGGCGCTCCGCGCGGATGTCTTGGACCCGCGCTGGACCCCTCTTCCTGGCGCGCGGACGAGGAGCGCGCCAAGGGCGGCGCGCTAGGCGCCGCCAGGGGGGCGCAGCGCGGATCCAAGAAATCCGCGCGGAGCGCCAACAGTTTACGTACATGGCGTTTTCTCTTCTTCGATGCTCACCCCCAGGGCAAGGCGCCTGGACGCGACCTTGTTCATGAGGTTCCGCGCCTGGTTCGAAACAGACGAGTCGCGGGTGGCCGCGTGCAGGTTCTGCGGCGGCTGCACGCGGAGGTGCGTCGCCGCCGTCGCCGTCGCCGTCGCCGTCGCCGTCGCCGTCGTCGTCCTCCTCCTCCTCCTCCTCCTCCTCCTCCTTGGCGGGAAGAATGGCGAGGGAGGAGGAGGAGGAGGAGGAGGAGAAGGAGGAGGAGGAGGAGGAGGAGGAGGAGGAGGAGGAGGAGGGAGGGCAGGGGACGATAGGGGGAGGAGGGTAAAATGAGCAAGGAGGAGGAAATTGATGATGATGATGATGATGATGATGAGGAGGAGGAGGACGAGGAGGAGGAGGAGGACGAGGAGGAGGAGAAGGACGAGGAGGAGGAGAAGGAGGAGGAGGAGGAGGAGGAGGAGGAGGAGGAGGAGGCCACGCCACTGGAGAGGCGCACCATCCTTCCTCCCGCGGGTAAACCTCGGCCGCGCTAGCCGCGCCGCCCGCCTCCTCAGAGTTGAAGTCGTAGAAGTCGCTGTCCTCCATGAAGCCAGCGACGACGGCCATGCCGCCGTTGTCCAGCCCGTCGCAGTCCATGAAACCGTCTTGACTGAGTGCGGGCAAGTGTACGTTCCCATCGTTGTGGTCAGGACGCTGATCTCCGTCCTCCCCATCATCGCCAGCACCTCCGCTAGGACGAGATGCTTCATCCGCCTCCAGCACACGCTCCTCCCCCACGCAATCGTACATGTCGTCCAGACCAACATGACAGGGTTCAGTAGCGCCGTCCTCGCTGGCCTCCATGGCTGCAGCCAGCTCCTTGGTGAATTTGTCCTCTTCCTCGCAATCATGTCCGATCTCAGACTCAAAGCCCGCGGAGGTGTTCAGCACAGTGCCGTTATCATATTCAGCATCCCCCGACGCCTGTGCCATCAGGAGTTCCTCGACAAACTCATCCTCCTCATCACGAGCAAGATCTGTCTCAAGGTAGGGAGGGGGCGCAGATCCAACATGACTGCTCAATTACATGATAGATCCAGGATAAGTCCGCATCCACAGTACTAACTCTCGTTGGTCTTCAGAGAGAGAGAGAGAGAGTATAAGGTGAGTCGAGAAATTGATTGGCCGCGCTCAACTGCGGTGTGGTCAACGTCAACGTATCATCATCTCCCAGAGGCGTCTCTTGTGCGGAAGCGGTGGCCACGGACTTGACAACCATACTTATCATTTGGAGCGCCCGAAATTGAATGGTGGCCTGGCGTTCCTCTGTATCAGTGCTACCTAGCCCACCACTGGCAGAAGCCGAGGAGGCTTCGGTGTTCGCTTGAAGAGTCAAAACCAACATCCGATCAGGGTAAAACGCCGTGAGGCCGTGCGCCGCCATGGTTTGTTTGAACAGATCCTCCGAACTGCCCGATACTCCTTCCCCATGTAGATATTCCGCAACAGACACCGCAACTATCGCACGGAAGGCCGTGTCGCCAGCGGGATTGGGTGGGTCGGGCTCGTCATCGCTAATGGCCACAACCTGATCGACGGCTGGTAGTGCTGCGTCTCTTTCACTGCCTCCGCTGGAAAAGTGTGCCAATCTTGGTCCTCCTACTGGTGCCGTGTCTGCAGGCGAGGTGGCCGTATCTGCTGCGTGGGTAGTGTTCGGGGCCTCCAGGTTAGCGCCATCCTGGCACACCCAACTGCCCTCTTGTTATGCTATCGTAGCTGCAAGTGTATGTGCGAATTCGTCTTCATTGTCCGGGTCAGTCGTTGCCTCTGCGGCCAATCCCGCAGCAGCGTGTTGCTCTGAACCATTCTCTCCATCAGCTTCATCAGTTGCGTGTGCCATCAAGAGTTCGTCGAATGACGCATCTCCATCCTCCAGAAAGGCAGGCTCTGCTTCGAAACCGGGAGTGGGCGGTAATCCGCATCCACTGGTCATTTCCATCTGAGGTTCAGGGTGTTGCAATATCCACAGAACAAGTTCTCGATGGTCGTCCGGAAGAATGTAGTGGTCGTCCAGGAATTGGGTAGCCAATGCCAACTGCTCAGGCGTAAGATTGTTTGTGTCCACATGTGTTTGCTGTTCCCAATTGTGTGTGGCGGTGGTGGCAGATCTGACGAGCCTACTGAGCGTTTGTAACGTCCGCAGTTGATCGTAGGCAAGGAGTGCTTCAGGGTCAGCATGCCGTTGCCCACAGCCTGTGTCTTCACCGACATGCATGCCTGCCGTAGCCGCTCCATGTGAGATCTGCACTTCGCCAGCGCCCACTGTAGCATAGCGCCCGCCCGCTGAAGACGACGTTGCGCCACCTTGATGCGCACCACCAAGAGTCCCATCCTGGTATATAACTCCGAAGCCATGCGCTGCCATTGTACGGTTGAACAGGTCTTCCGCGTCGCTGGGTGTATCTTCTTCATGCATATCCCTCACAGCTGGCGGCGTCGGTGCAGCAGGCGGGGTCGAGGAAGAGGCGGCCGTAGCATGCCCAATCTCGCTGTGTTGAAGCTCCCGTGAGCGGTGCGTCGCCATCTGCACTTGGGCTTCGAACTCCTCGTCCGTGCAGATCAGCCCAAAATGGTGTGAGTCTTCAGCGGGATCTATAGTGTCACCTTCCAATACTTGTGGAGCCGTAGCACCTGCCGCCGATGCTGCAATTGCGTCAGCCGCTTCCACCATGCACTCGATGTCGCCATCAGAAGGGTTGGGGCAACCGTCTCCTCCAATGCTCCCGTCGTCTTCGTCGGGGTAGGGCCCGTCGTCCGTGTAGTGCTCAGGTTGCGCAGGGCACTGGAAATGAGGGAGAAGAAAGAGCTGAGGGTGGCTAGCTCTGGAAGGCGAGTGGTATGAGGACTTCTGGTCCTGCAATATGTCAGCGCGCTCTACCCCGAGCATCCTCGAACTATTCGGGCGCCAGTCCATCTGTCGCAGTAGTGCCATTCCGTTACGTCTCATCAATGTGAGTCGGCGGCGATCGAGAGAAGCCCATTGATGCGAAACTTGCTCTCGCAAAAGTTCCCGCGGGATAGCGCTCGAGTACCATCCATACATGCAAAACTCGATAGCCATATCCCATCTCTTAGCGCTGTCCGATTTTGCGTCAGCCTCGCACTGGAGTTTTTTTTTTTTTTTTGTTTTTTTGTTTTTTTATATAAAAAATAATAAAAACAATCTATTAAATCTGTTGGAAATCGCTCCCGCTGCTAAAGAACCAAGGAGGGAACCCAGTTCCGAGCACAGATCCCAATACGATCCACCAATGCAGCATAGTGGGGGTGGTTCATGTGCGGCAGATCGGGCACAGCACCCGCCGTGGTGCTTGGTGCGCTCCTTGAGGGGTCCAGCGTCAAAGGGTTGGCGTACGGTTCGCAGTCGTCGTAGTCGCGCAGCGTCCCAGCAAGTTCACCCGCTCGATGATCAAGGTCACCCAGTCCATCTTGGCAGCCAACTACCAGCTCAGGGAGAAGACGGCGCGATTCGTGCTGTAGGAGGGTCGCCTCCTCTAACAGCTCCCTGGTGATCTTGAGGAAAGCCGAATTGTGGTGCGCCCAGCCACGTGCAGCTAGTAGATAACGGCCGCGCTCCCTTGCAACGAGCGGCCAAATACCAGTGGGCTTGTCGAAGTTCAGTCATGTGTTGAAGAAGTGCGCTACGCTCCCGTACCGCATTGTGCCATTCAGCATTGGCTATACCAGCGGCGACGACCGTGCGGCACTCTAGCGATGGTGTATCATCATGGAAAAGACCTAAGAAGCTCATGAATCGGAGAACAATCGTCAAGACATCAATGGCCCATGTCATCCAGTCACCGAAGTCCGATAATCCATTGCTCGTAAAGACCATGGAGCAAACCCAATTGCGCGCCCACTATTGTACGCGGCCGCTCAGGTCGGCAACCCTAGCCGCCATCGCTTCTCCGCAACCCTCTGGCAAAGGGATGGCAAATCGGCATTCGCCGTGGGCATGCGGAGATCGAACTCGGCGAGGAAGAAGATTGTGAAGCGTGCGTTGGCCTTCAGGAAGTGGCGGGGGCAGCGTCTGTGGGCGAGAAACGAGTGAGCGCTCTTCAGGATGGGGCGGTGCCGACGGCCGGGGCGTCTCAGTAGGTCTGCGAAGCAATCTTACCCGACCTGATGTTGGACTCGCTAGGGCCCTTGCACGGATTGCCCCGCGAGCTGCGTGGAGAAGGCGATCGGGATTGACGAAGTCTGTGTGGCGCACATTGTGGTAGATGATGGTGTCGTCGTCGGACCCTCCCCGAAGACCCCAGCGGTCAAGCACGTGTCCAGGTAGAGGGATGCGACCTCCCGACTTGACCATAGCAATGCCCCGAGCAAGGCCGCGGCGTTCCCAGTAATGACTGATCTCGCCACGACAATCTTCGCATCCGAATATGCATGCGCGGACGCCAGTCGGTGAGGAGATGCGCGCAGTCGTGAGCCAGCCGCCGCGAAAGCCTCGAAGAGAAGTGGTTGCCCATGCTGTAGGGAAGGTCAGGAGCTTATCTTTAAGCGCACTCCAATCCATGTCCGCGATCTCAGCAGCTTTCTGCGGGAACCATTTCGACCAACGCTCGATGATTGTGTCAGTCAACGGCGAGTCGCTTCCTTTGGCTTTGGATAGGGGTGGTAGCCTCATGCTCTGCACTGCGGCCGAGCAAGCTGTTTTCTGAATCAAATGTCGCGCCTCAGGGCGTTCCAGAATAAGCGCATAGGCAGCGCGAGTTCCCGCAGATGTGTTGCTTGCCGCTGCATCCTCTATCATTTCCGCAAACGAAGGCATAATCCACAAACGTGGAGAGGGCTGGCCGCAGATATCAGCCAAGACGCGATGGGGAACCCAACGCTCAGCAGCACGACGGAGTCGAGCGAGAATACCCAGCGTGTTCAGGGTGTGTGGATAGACCAGATCGAATAAGTGCCGCCTCATAAAGGGGGCCTGATGCTCGTAGTCTAGGTCCCCCCATTGCCCCAAACACAAGAAGTCGATGTATCTGAGCGCGCCACCCGGTAGACGAAGTAGGCGCACAAGAACATGAATATCTTGCTGAAGAAGTTGCTTGGGAAGTGGTTGAAAATGTGCAACAGAGCTCATCGTTGGCAGGGCACGACCCACATAGTTGATGGCGTTGAGAGATGCTGGTGCAGCAGAAGACGCCAGCGCAGCCACCCTTGCCTTATACTTGTCCCTAGGAGCGAGCCAAGAGCAAGCTTCCGTCGCCGCTGGGCTAATCCACAGATGCCGAGATACAGTAATGTGGCCTCGATCCGAAAGGCGATCCAATCAGGAACAATTGTCGCTAGACACCCCCTCAAACTGGTGACGATCTCTTCGCTAATTGCAGACGCCAGTGGCGCGATCACACACTCTGGCGGTTTGAGCTTCAAATTCGCAATCTTCTCTGTCACTTTCATGACTTTTGACATGTAGCGCAGGTCTAGGCGATCGAAGAGAACTCCACCAATATCGTCGGCGCATGCCCGGAAGATACCACGGTGATGAACTTCCAACCCTAATCGGAGATCTTCAAGGAATGGCGATGTGGCTGCAGCGAACAAGCTCCCAGAGAGCGCACACCCCTGAATAATCCCACATGAGATGCATAATAAGTCTTTGGTGATCCCCGCGATGCGCCCGAAGGCGGTGATCGAATCATACAGCGAACGACAAGCCGCGAGGAATGCTGATGGCAACTGCATGGCGTTGGGGATCGTGAAGAGGTACTGCTGGTTGAGGCTCGGGAAGGCCTGACCGAAGTCCAACGCGACCAGAATGGGTTGCTTGCTCTCAACCTGGGGCTGCGAAGATGCAGTGCGAACCATCACATCGAGCTCCGGGATGTTGGACGTAAGCTGGCCACCAGCAGTGAAACCCGTTTGTGCTGAGGAAGTAGTTTGCCGAACGGAGGAGGAGAAGGAGGAGTAGGAGTAGG